TGAAGACTTATCAAAGTGTCTGAAATGTAACATTCCAACTTCCCCCTTAGTGTGTTTGTTGGGCAGCTTAGATAATGTCACTTCAGAAAAGAATATAGCCCATATGGTTTTCACTGCCCTATGCATAGCCAAGAAAACTGTCCTCATGAACTGGAAAAATAAAAATAATCTTAATTCTAACCAATATAGAAATTATCTATTAGTATTTAGTATTTAGTATTTATTTATTTATTGTCATTGTCAAGAACAATGAAATTGCGTTTGGGGCTTCCATACAACCCAAAAAAAAAGAAGAAAATAATAAATACCCCTTAAAACCCAAGTGTACATATTTAACCCAGTGTGACTCCAATGCAATAAGACAATCCTTAGCAATAATGTTCGTAGAAATTCAGACAAAGACCTGAGAAACATGACAAAATACAACAATGCAACCCATTCAATATTATTGTACTGTGAGATATGATATCAGATATGATAGTTATCTATTTAAAAAAGAGGGAGGGGGAAGAGAATAAAGATATGATGCACCAATGCAGACCAGTTCATTGCTATTAAGAAGTTGGATATGGTTATGGTCCGTGAGAGGGGGGCAGAGAGTTCAGGAGCCTCACAGCCTGTGGATACAGGCTGTTGGCCAGTCTGGATGTTCTGGCCTGTATAGACCTGTACCTTCTCCCTGAGGGCAGCAGATGGAAAAGGTGGCGCGCAGGGTGATGTTGGTCCCGCAGGATACTGTGCACCCTCCTCAGACAGCGAGTGGGGAAGATATTACTGATCTCTGGCAGACTTGTTCCAATAATTCTGCCAGCTTCTTTCACCACCCGCTGGAGTGCTTGCTGATCGGCCTTGGTGCAGCTGGGGAACCACACTAGAAATCCATACGTCAGAACGCTGCTGATGGCACAGTTGTAGAAGTTCAACATCAGAGATCTGGGAATGTGTGCGCTCCGCAGTCTCCTCAGGTAGTAGAGGCGCTGTTGGGCCTTCCGTACAACTGAGGTGATATGGTTGCCCCAGGACAGGTCCTCGGTCACAGTTACCCCCAAGAATTTAAAACTGCTCACCCTCTCCACCGCCTCACTGCCAATGAAGAGAGGCAGATGGTTGTTATGACCCCTCTTCCGGAAATCTACAATGATCTCCTTGGTCTTTTTGGTGTTTAAGACCAAGTTATTGTCGTGGCACCATGACTCTAGTTGTTGCACCTCTGTCCTATAGTTTGTCTCATCATTGTTGGATATAAGTCCGAGCACTGTAGTGTCATCTGCAAACTTAACAATGAGATTGGACGCGCAGGAGGAAATACAGTCATGGGTGAAGAGAGTGTATAGCAGAGGGCTCAGAACACACCCCTGAGGGGCACCGGTGTTGACCACAAGGGTGGAAGAGGTGTTCTTACCCACTCTGACACTCTGTCTACGGTTAGTGAGGAAGTCCACAATCCAGTTGCACAGAGAGGAGTTAAGTCCCAGTTGGTGGAGTTTGGGACGGAGTTTGTATGGCCGGATGGTATTAAAAGCCGAGCTGTAGTCTACAAAGAGGAGCCGTGCATAGGTGTTCCTGTGTTCCAAGTGCTTCAGTAATGTGTGCAGCACTGTGGCGATCGCATCCTCGGTTGACCGGTTCTCCCTGTATGCAAACTGGTGCGAGTCCAGGGATGGTGGAAAAGCAGCTCTGATGTGTTTAATGACCAGTCTCTCCAGGCATTTGGCGGGAATGGGGGTGAGTGCCACAGGTCTGAAATCGTTCAGACATGTGACATTTGACTGTTTTGGGATGGGAACGATGGTTGCTGCTTTGAAACAGGATGGTACCAGTGAACAGGACAACGAGGTGTTATATATAGAGGTGAAGACGTCCGCCAGGTCCGCAGCACAGTCTTTTAGCACCCGGCCCAGCACTCCATCCGGCCCGGCCGCCTTCCTGGTGTTAATGCTCCGGAACACACGCCTCAGCTCATGAGTGCTCAGGACCGGAGCAGGGTCGGTTGAGGGGAGAGGGGACAGGACAGGGTCGGTGTTCTCCCTGTCAAAACGGGCATAAAAGAGATTTAGATCCTCAGCCAGAGTAGAACTGTCGGCTGAGGGTGATGGTGTTCTTCTTTTGTAGTCCGTGATAGCCCTGATGCCCTCCCAGACCTGCCTTGGGTTTGTGTTGTTCTCAAACCTGGCCTCGATACGCCTCCTGTGCTGCTGCTTGGCAGTCTTGATGCCTCTTCTCAGGTTGGCCCTGGCAGCACTGTATGCCTCCTGGTCCCCGGATTTGAAAGCGTTGTTCCTTGTTCGAATAAGTTGTTGAACTCCGTGTGTCATCCAGGGTGGATTATTAGGGAACACACGGAATCGTTTCCAAGTTGTTACATTGTCCACACAGAAACAGATGTAGTCCAAGACAGTGGAGGTGTAACTGTCCAATGCGACACGATTGTCAGTGTCCTGCACCTTGAATACATCCCAGTCTGTGCAGTGGAAACAGTCCTGAAGCATCGGAATAGCGTCCTGCGGCCATGTTCTCACGGTTTTGGTTGTAATCCCAGTGCTCTTGATCTTTTGTGTGTATATTGGGTGTAGCAGAAGGGAGAGATGGTCTGACAGACCCAGGTGGGGATAAGCCTGGGCTCTGTACGCATTCGCCATGTTGGTGTACACCTGGTCCAACGTTCTATCTCCTCTGGTAGCACATTACGGTGGAAATTGTGAAGTACAGATTTCAGGTCCGCGTGGTTAAAATCCCCAGCCGCAATAAAGACACTGTCCGGGTGTGCTACCAGGCTGTTATTGATGCTGCTGCTCAATTGTGCTAACGCTAGCTTAGCATTAGCATCTGGTGGAATGTAAACAGCGCAGATGTAAACGGCAGAAAATTCCCGAGGGAGATAGAATGGACGGCACTTTAACACCAACAGTTCTACCTCTGTACTGCACAGTTTTTCCGTTACCGTGACGTTCGTGCACCAAAGGTTGTTAATATAGATGCACAGCCCCCCGCCAGTCTTCTTACCCGAGTCCGCAGACCTGTCGGCTCGATAGGCGGTGCGGCCTGCTAGATCGATAGCCGCATCGGGAATGGCGCTGTCCAGCCAGGTTTCAGTGAAAATCATGCACGAACAGTTATTAAAAGTCCGTCGAGTGGCGATCTGCAGTCGTATTTCATCCAGTTTGTAACGGATTGAACGGGCGTTGGAGAGGAATATGATCGGGAGTGGTGGTTTAAACGGACTAGTCTTTAGCCGTGCCCACAGGCCTCCCCGCTTGCCTCTCTTCTGCCTCCGCTCGCAACGTCTCCTCCTGCGGCTTGCTGTTGCGGGTAGCCCCGGGGGTTGCTTAACGATCTCCGGGGGGATGAGATACTCGGATGTTAGTTGAAGATCTCCACGGCTTAGTTGTAGTAGATCATCTCTGTTGTATTGAAGTAACCCCAGGCTGTGTGAAATAATACACAGTACCACCAAAAGTGCAAAAGTGTAGGAGCTCCGGGCCGCTGCGTCTGTGCGCGCCGCCATCTTAAATTACATTAGTCTTGATACAGCCTCAGCCACCACATCAGATCAATTGCTCTGGGCTCCTGTGATCAGCTCCATCACCTAGTGGGGGTGGGGGGTCATAGTTTGGTCCCGCCTTCACTGTTGTGATTGGTGTGGGGGTAGGGACATGCTTAGGGCGTCGGGGGGTTCCCCGGAGGCATCTTCCTTGGGGGGCTCAACCCGGGGTAGCGGTCATGGCCAATTAGGGGCTCTGTTGGCTCTTAGGTGACGGTTTCCTCGTGGCTGTGTGCAGCGGGGCTAGGGGAGGGTCTGTGCTGACGGACGTGGGTTACTGACCTGGTAGCCTGGCTGCCCCTGGGTGGGTCCGGGATGGGTGTGAGGTTCTGGGGGTGCTCCGTCTCTGGGCTGGGGAAATGGCATATCCATGGTAAATAAGGTAGTCACATAAACTGATCATAACTGTATCTTAATATTAGAAACCATATTAGATTAATTTAGTTGTGAAAAAACATGTACATAAAATAAAAAAGTTCTAATTTACTGGTGTTGGCCAGAGGGGCTGATGGCGCGTTATGGCAGCCTCGCTTCTGTCAATCTGCCCCTGGGCAGCTGTGGCTACAACTACAACTGTAGCTTGCCTCCACCAGTGTGTGAGAGTGAATGAATAGTGGCATTGTAAAGAGCTTTCGGTGCCTATATAAATCCAATCCATTATTATTATTACTTTATCAGATAGACGACTTCTGAAAATGACTCGCCAGTCAGTCCTGAAGACAGTAAATCGGACTTTTTGATTTTTCAATCTTGGTATGACTTGAATATCTATAACACGATCACCTTTATATCTTGATGCATGCTCATAAGATTGGGGAAACCTGTAGTCAGCTGAGACTGAGGAAGTCACTTGGATGAGTGACGTTTTCTCCCACTGAAATGGTATATCTAGATGAACAAAATAAACTTTTTGGGATCACCTTTATAGATACTGATGTTACACAGCCTGTAACCCTGTTACCCTGTACACGTGTATGGAGAACATTAGCTGTATATAGGAATATAACAATATATAATGAGGAAATATTGCACTGTGTCACACTCTACATTCTTATTTGACTGCAGTTTATGTAGAAGGAGGACCCTGGCGCCCTTTTAACCCGTTTTTGTGTACCATGTTCTTATCAAAGAGTCTTCAATCAGTCTTTTTAGATAATGAAACAAAGCATCTCTATTAGATAGGGAAATTAGATCAATTAGGCCCTTGTTATAGCTGCTTTTGTGTTCTACTGGTAGTTTGCACTTTCTCCTACCTGACAATCAAGCTCTACTTTTGGGATGAAAGCTCCATAACAACGATGCACTCTGCCTAATAAAAAAAAGATCACCTTCTTTTCACATTTGCAGTCTGACTAGCCCAAGTGTAGGGCAACGGGCTGCACTGTCAGTTTCTCCAGGCTGCCAGGGTCGTTACATCACTCTGCGAGGACACGCCTTTCTGGGTGGTGACACAATCGAGGAAAAGCGCTCGGAGGGGGAGGGGTGTCCCGTCGGCAGGCACACAGACAGCAGGCAGCAGCTGCAGCGACAGGATCTGGCGCTGTTACTCTGCACTGAAAACTTTCACATTACGATTTTAGCTCCGAAAAACACACACACGCAGGTTTAGAAACACTCCACACACTCACACGCACGACCTCTTTCTAAAATGGTAGACCGCGAGCAACTGGTGCAGAAAGCCAGGCTGGCCGAGCAGGCAGAGAGGTATGATGATATGGCAGCTTGCATGAAATCGGTAAGTAGGCTTCCTCTGTAATGACCTTTCTTTTCTCTTTGTCATTTTCTGTCATAAGTAACCTCAACAAGCTCTCTCTCTGTGTGTGTGTGTGTGTGTGAGAGAGATAAATGTTTCAAGGCTGTACAGACCTAACGGTGGGGCAGGGGACTGTGCCTGTTTGTCACAGCACATTTGGGCTTAAGTGGACAAGCCGAGGACAATTGGTGTATGAAACTTATGATAAAAGATCGCATTTGTGAGGAATGCACGTCTGTGAGTATGATAGGGACAGGCTGTAAAAAGATTTGGGCTACATCATTTTGAAGAGGCCCTGTGTTCACCGTTCACACAGCAGATATATCAGTGAAATTGATCACATACATCGAAGCTCAGTGAAAATCGGTGATTTACAGTAAATCGGGGGAGGGGGTATCGGATGGGTGCTGTAGTGGATTGTGGTCGTTTGAAATGCGGACTGTCTGATCTTGGGGCGGTGCCTTTTGCCAGGCTCCTTCGTAACCGGCCGGGCTGCCCGGGTGTAACAAGAACCGAGAGAGAAATGAGTCGCAGAATGGCGATAAGAAGCCACTGAGTCATCATCTGTCTGAATCAATCATGGGTTCACAGTCAAAGGGATCCTGATCGACAGATACGCATATCGTCTGGGAGCAGAGAACGAGCTGGGTTGGTACCAATGATGATGAGAGTGACATCGCAGGCTGCTCGTGTTCCGGTTTAAACCAAATAAAGAGCCCTCGACTTAATGTGAAATACCCTACCCCCTCCTTCTCGGGCACCGTCTCTTCTGCACATTTGGCGCAGTGAGAAAGGGGCAATGTTGGCTGAAGGTTGCTCGCAAATCGATTTGCGCAGAAGGGGCGCACAGAAGTGTATCCACCTTTCAGACGTGGGTGTCGGTGCACGGACGACTTTCCAGAATCATCCATTCGGTAGATGCCATATTGCAGCAAATGCACACTCGCGTGAGCGTGATGGAAGCGCCAGTGTTCAGTCGATGCTTCTGTAGCAACCGCATCCCTGCGTCCTCGACCTCTTACAGCAGGTTCCCCACACAGAGGCGTGCCGCAGCATCTGCCAGGATGCAGCACAGGTCCAACCGTAGTGCACCATTTCACTGGCAGTGCATCTCACAGCATCAGGGCAGTCTGAGCCATCTCACAGAGAAATAGAAGTCAGTGAATGCTGGGTTGACCTGAGCTACTTTATTTAAAATAACGGACATGGAGATTATGGCTAGTGTCTTTTTTTGCTCTTAAGATAAGAGATAAAGAGTTTTCTCGTGTCATATTTCTACATGATCATTTCTACATGATCATCTGTTATGGCCGTTTTCAGTTAACAGAGCTGCTTTCTATTCATGGTCGTCATCTCCAAGACTCAACTAGTAAGCTGTCAGAGTATTTTAAAGGCCGTACTGCATGCTGCTTTCCAGGACCGGCTTGTAGTGGCAGTGCCAGAGAGGGGGGCTCCACCCCTTCCCATTTGTGCCGAGTCAGAGAGTGAGAGAACAAGCTGCCCCTCACCCAGCCTGTCTCTCTGCACCACTGGGCAGTGGGGTGTGTCTGCTGCCTCGCCCATCGTTTGAGGGGAATCCCTTGCCACTGCAGGCATGGCAACCGCCCCGGTGGCAACGGAACCAAATAACCAGAAGGACGGAGCGTCCCCAGGAGGATTTGTCAGGCTTTAAGCTAAGGAGCTGGGCCCTACCAGAATGAATGATATGGTTTCTGGGCTGCTGTTGGGAGTTTTCACCACTGTCTTCAAATTTGATTACAGAACAGCATGTCCCAGCTTCAGTTCTACTTTCTACAACATGAATAAGTTATTACTTCAATAGATCTAGCTGTTGATTTTTAAGAAATTAACCATATCCAGAGAAGCTTATTTCATTAATTAGTCCAACTAAAACATCTCCACAAAAAGTAACTATGAGGTCTCCCTAATTTGACAAAAATATGATAATCACAGATAATACAATAAATCTGTGTTAGCAATTTGACATATTTTAGGATCTCAGAAATCCTACCAAAAATGATGGAGCTAGATGTTGTCTCTGGAACTATTTTCTTAAATTTTTTAACATAAGTGCTATCCTGATCCAGAACTACCACACTATTTGGAAGCGGCCTGTCAGGTTCACATAGCCGAGACAAAAAAAAAATCTTTAAAACAAGACAAATTACAGTTCTTGAGTCATGTTGAAGTACTCATCGATAACCATATGCTACAAACACATGACACAGTACCCGGTGTTACTCTGCCTGTGTTTTGTAATAGTGACAAAACCCCTGTTCCACTGAAGTAAAGAAGTTTGTCACTGTGCCACACAGTGACTCACACAAAGAACAATATGCAGAACTGATAAAACTATTAAATCATAACACCGATAACATTGCACGATCTGATATCGTCGTGTTGGTGTTGTTCCCAGATCATCATCCTAAATGTTGCTCCAGGATCAACATTGCAAGTGACCAATCAGAATGTTGTGACGTCATACTTTTGCGACTTCGGGAAAAACTGGCGTGAAACAAAAAACTGTGCTTAAGCTGCGAGAAACCGCCTCTGTCTGCCGATCAACGGACCCTAACCCTAACCAACCCTTTAATAAACGGTAAGCAGAATTGATATTGTCCTTGCAACTTTGGAATTTCATAAATGAACGAATGGATTGGCGCGCAAAAGAATAACGTCACAACAATGTGATTGGTCACTTGCAATGTTGAACCTGGAATAACATTTTCATGATGATCTGGGAACAACACCAACACGATGATATCAGATCATCCAATAAGATTACTGACATTTAGCCAGTGGTGGCTAATCAGAAATATTAGTTATTAATTATTAATTTTTAATTGATTAATAGATTACTTAATAGAGATTACACAACTAATGCTACATTTGAGATAATTTTCTTAACCTGTTTTCATACACGGGAAATATTCATCTCTTTGATCACTTAAGCTTAATTCACACATCCACTCAAGTCTGTATGTTTTTTGCGGAGCGAGAATTCTGTAATTAGTCAGTCCAATACAGCCTCAATCAACAGACATGGCAAAATTTCTAAGTTGACCACTGTCAGTTCGGAGCATACCACATCAGCATGATGGAGGTAATTTTATGGCATGGGCACAAAGCCAGTCGCTGGTGTTGATCGATGATGGTGATAGGGGCAGAGATTGTTTTTCAGTGGTAGAGCATCTCAGGGGAGGGAAATCTGTAGTTTCTGTCTTAAAGCATTCACTGACTACAAAAGATTATTAAAGTATTAAAAATGAACCATTTTAAGTCATCTGCACAATTAATTTGAAAACCTGCAAAAATGGAGGAACCGTGTATAAAAATGGCCGTAGTTCATGTTAATGGAAGCAACTGTACTCATAAGACATGCACATCTATTAATGTGGCTGCACGAAGCCTGAGCCCTGTGTTGCTTTCTAAGTGATCAGTAAATGTTAATTGGTTTGATTGTCATCATAACTTTTAAATAGGAAAGCGTCCGCGGCGATCAGATGGACATGAAAGAGATTCAGACTCCTTGAGGTTAATGAAAACAGGGGCCATGTCTGAAAGGGGCATCAATCGCTCTCTCTCCCTTGCTCTGTTTCTTCTGCTTTCTGTTTTTTTAATTTAGAGAGCCAGCTTCTGTCATGTTCAGTAAATGTGGGCGGTGACAATCCCGTTTGGCCCAAAAGTTTTGTAGTCATGGTTGCTCAAGTTTATGGACATATTTGGCTTTTTTTTTTCTTCATTTTATTTGCAGATTTGCAATGTTGATCTGAAAGACCTTACCATCTTTTGTTTGAGTTACATAGCAACAGCGGCTAAGAGGCCGGTTTACTGTGTATGAACATATATATATGTTTATGAGAAGGCAGGCAGCCAGAGCTGCTGCACTTTAACACACGCATTTAACTAAGTCACCATAGGTAGTTGTACATTGTGTTGACTTGACCCCATTAGTTTGAATAAGCCTCCTCCCTCCACTCCCCCCCCCCCCCCCCCCCCCCCCAACATAACACACCCTGTTGGAGAGCTTATTTCTTTGTCTTAGGAAGTGCATGGCACAGAGAGCCAAGGCTTCCATCACACTTAATAAACTGAGCCCATTATTCCCCATTCAGTGCATTAGCAAAAGTATTGTGCTGCAGCTGCTCCATACACTGCACCTCAGTTTAATATGTAATGGCTATAAAAGCTTTTGCTGTTCGATAAACAAATCATGGTTAATAACAGCAGGTGCAAGACAGAGCTCTTCAAATAGGTTAGGCTGCAAAGCTGTCAAGACTTGTGGTTTATTTATTTATTTTTCCCCCCAGAAACAATCGCTTGCTAAATTACAGATGTTTTCTATTCAGCATTTTCTGTACCTGCAGCAGTTGTAAGTAATCCTGAGGAACCAAAGATCGTGTGGGGGCAAAAATACATTCTGTTTTGCAGGTGGTGATCACTTTAGGATGAGTGCAGAAATACAGCGTAATACACAGTATGTAAAACTGACAGGCTGTTATTACGGAACTACCAATATACTGTAAATGAAAGGAGCCTGGTCCATACAGGCAGTGACGGTTCCTCCTCCTCTATTTCTTCAGAGATAATAGAGAGAACAAAATATATGAAAAAGACTAATTGGTTAACGTGACTATTACCGCATTTCAGTATCATTTATAACTTTACAATAACAATAGCAATGGCATTCAATTTAATTTCAATTATATACCACCAAATCGCAACAACATTCACCTCAAGGCACTTAAAAATTGTAAGGTAAAGACTATACAAAATAGAGAGAAAATCCTAACAATTAGGCAACCCCCTATGATCACTTGGCAACTGTGGGAAGGAAAAACTCCCTTTTAACAGGAAGAAACCTCCAGCCGAGAGGGACAGACATCTGCCATGACAGGTTGGGGTGAGGTGAGGCAGAGACCAGAGTCATGTATAATAGAGTAGCTATTTAATTCTAAAATTATGTAGCATTTTTTAAAATT